CCTCTTCTGTCATGGCAGCAAAACTTCAAAAGAAACATATCAGGGGGCTTCGAGGACTGCGGCTCCGGGCGGAAATATGAAAGCGTAGACGCCGAAGAACAAGAAGGGCAGACCTCCACCAACCTCTGTTTCAACAATCCCCACCTCGTCGACGAGTTTCCAGTCACCCAAAACACTACGTAGCACCATTTACCGTCGGTCGAAACATCTTCAACACGGTATTGACAAGATTCACAAGATTAGTAACACCATCACATCACTAATTAGAATAAACCAATCGAATAAACTCAATCGCCCACAATCTGTTTGATTGAAACAACGGAAGAGAAAACCAAGGACGAGGTCCGAAATCAAAGCAGGGAGATTATTCTAGGGTTTACTTACCTCCTCTTACAATGCTTAGACCAAAGAATAGAATTATGCGGCACAAGTCGCAGCCCAAACCAGTCTTATCGGGGCAATTCACAGTGATGACGGTGGGTTCATCCTCTTTCTCCGGCGGCCTCACAAGCACCACGTCGTCGTACAATAGACCCATATCCTTTGTTTTCTTCTTCTTCGTCTTCTTCCTCGTTGGTGAAGTTGTGAGATTCAGAGTTTTCCGATGGGTTCTCTGCAGAATTGCACAGAATGCAATAATCCAGAATTTTATTTTATTTTATTTTTTTCATCAGTTTCGCCTGTTCTTTGACTCAAATGCCCTTCACAACTTCAAAAATTCCATCTCCTGAATCAATTTTACTATGGTGTCAAACTGAAATCATAATCTAAATAAATAAATAGAAATAGCTTCAAAAATATTACGTTTGATTACAAATTTGATCTGGATTGAGTTACATGATTGTATCCATTTAATCTCATTATTTAAAAAAATTTTAAAAACTCCCCACTTTTAACTCTTTTTTTTTTCTGATTTCAATACACGTAGATTTGAACTTGCAATCTTTTATTAAATATACCACTTGGACTTGTATTTAATAAATCTCAATCATTTAATTAGGTGATGGTGATGTAGTTAGGAAAATTGGGATTTTTTACTCCATTTTATAATCAATTAGGATTTTTTATCTCTAAACAAAATTATTCGTGACCTCTTAAAAAGAAAAAACAAAATTGCATGAATTCCAATGGATAGCACCATCCCGATTGCATAAACTTTTTTTTTTTAAATTATATTGGGCATTTATGGAATCTTTGCTCAGTTTATACAAATTCATTATTCAAATTAAAAAAATTGAGATTCTTTCTCATATTAGATTCAAATTAGAGGTCGACCCTGGGTTTAAGGTGAGAGAGGGGTGCGATAATCAAGATGGGGAGAATTTTGCTTTTTAAGAAAAAAATGAGGATATCTCGATAATTTTACAGAGACAAAATGTGGGTGAGGGGTCACGAATAAAGATTAAGAAGGGTTAAAAATCCTAATTGATTATAAAATAGGGTCAAAGACCACAATTTCTTGCTAGATGTTAAGTGAATATGTAATTTTCCAATAATATAGCCAGCGTTTCACTTAAGCGTTTAATAGATAAAATGAATAACACAATAAAATAGAAGGTTTCGAATTCGAAATATTTTTCTAACATAGAGACTAAATAAATTCAACATTAAAACTTTTTGATTTGCATATATGTATTTCTTAATTGTTTTCCTCCGTTCAAAATCTAAGTTAAATTTTTGAAAATTAAAAGATAAATATATTTTTTCTATAAGGAAGTTTTTATTTTTATTTTTTTAAAATTTGGCTAAGAAGTTTGTTTCAACAAAAAAAAAACAACAACCAAAAATAAAAGTATGAGTAAACAAACAATTTTCATCCAACTTATAATTAATAATTAATTCGTGCCCGATTCTAACCAAAGTTTAAGGAGAGATGGAATCCCCAAAAGTTTTTGGGAAGATATTTACTTAAAAAATCTTATATAAGGATGTGCATTATTGTAGGAAAAAAAAAACATGGAGGAATCATAATATTATAGTTGTGGAATTATGTTTTGTTATGAACAGAGAAAAGCAAACAAGACGACAAAAGGCAGAACAGCTAAAAAGAGATTTTTTTTTTTTAAGAGACAAATATAATATAATATATAAAATAATTAAAAGTTTTTTAAAGCTACTTGCCGCAAATTGCTTGTGAGGTGCCAACCAAATTCTTTCTTCTTTCGTTTCTTCCTTCCATATCTAAGGAGTTCAAAATTTGAAATTTAAATCTCTAAAAATAATAAATATTTGTATTTGAATAATTAGTAGAATTAAAAGATAGGTTTGTTTTGCCGATTTTATTCTTAATAAACCATTTGGAAATGACAAACATTTGTGAACCAAAATGCATGACTTTTATCTTACATAAAAGAAGGAGAAGAGTATGTAAGACAAACTCTTTTAGTAGCTCGTAAAAGATATTAGCTAAGATATCTTCTTACACGCACGTCATGCTATCTGTCTGGATTGATTGAAATGAATAAGGAAAACACGAGTGCTTAAAGCCAACTTTATTCCACAAAGCCAACGAAATTGGAAAGTATTTATTTGATAGTTATGTGTTGTTTCTTATTTGTTGGAGATTGAGAATCATATTGGAAGAAGAAAATGAACATGCATTCAAAATATGATCTATCGAAGAAAAAAAAAAGCCTTTGAGAACTTATCCTTATCTTGTTATTTGTAAAATTTTTGTATTTCACAGCGTAAGAGATATATGTTATTCCCAAATAAATATATTTGATATTAGCAAGTTCCGATGCTAGATATCAATGGATGATAGTTCACATCTAAATTAACCAATTAGATGAAACACAATAATGTCAATTAAATATGTAAAATTTTGATGAGACGAAAATAAGTGACCAAAAATAATGTTATGGTTACTTCTAAAGTGGGAGCATCCATTCAAATTCTTGATGAGTTCACTAAGTGAACCAATTTTTGCCAGTAAGGGTTTCTGAAATACCATATTGATTTAGAACTTAGATTATAATCCTAAGCTTTTTTCTCATTATCTTTTTAAAATAAAATACTTACTTTAGGTTCAATTCAAAGGGGGAAATTCTTGTTTGGACCTTGCCCAAAATTGGGTTTCTTTGGAATGGAAAAAGTGATGGGTCTTTTCCATTAAATTCTTCATGGGCAATTATAATGCAAAGAGAGAGCGTATTGGGGACTTGGTGTAGACTCAATAATTTACTTGGTCGATACCAAGGTTGGTTCGACACTGTTCTAGTTTCTTGTTTCTAATTTTTTAAAAACATATGTATTTAGTAATAGTTATCGAACAATAATTTTATTTATTGGGAAGAAAAAAAATAATAAACAAGAAATAATAATAATTTTCATTTTTGACTAATTAATCAAATCAAGAATCTACTAAAGTGTGAATGAAAAAAGCAGAATCACATCCCATTGACATTGGGATAAGAATCTCCTCACCAACTTGACTCTTGTTGGATTCCACTATTACCCTCCACTCTCTATAAAGAGAAATTAATTGATTGGCTTACAAAAAAAAAAATAGCATATTATTAATGTGAAATGAGCTACAACTTTGTTTGGCATTATGGTAATGGACAACTTTGATCTCTTGCTTGGTTGGCTTTTGGCTATGGCCTTTAATTTCAGCCTCTTCCTTCAACCATTTTTAAAGCATTTAGTTTTTAACTTTATGTATTAATTTAACCCACTTGTAATTAACTATGTCATTATCAATTAGACAAATAATAAATACTAGTTATTTGCCCACTTGCATAGTTGTGTTGGATACCAGTGACAAGATTTCAAAATCATATAATGAAATTACCTTCAAATATTAAAACCGTACCTTTGAAAAAGTTACGACGGTAGAGCACTCATTTGATGGTGCGCTTGCCACTAGATATGCATGCCTTCGATAACTATCTCATTTACACTTGACTTTCCTATATTATCATGCGTTAGATCTCATCGGTATATTAGAAATAGGCTCATTAAACACCCCATAAAAACAGACATGTACCTAGGTTAACTAGTCAAAATATTGTTACCTCCCTAATAGTCGAAGCTTCAAATCAGCCTCTACTTCGTATTCGAATCAACTTTTAACTTGTCTTTTTATCGATCTCTTAGGAGACTTACACGCTATAAAAAAAAAACCATCATTTTTCTTAACTCATCGATGTTGATATAAGGTCAGAATTCTAGTTCATATGCTACATAAATACTTTGTATGTTTGTATGTAGGGTTTATGGTGGGTGATTTTAGTAATATCCACTTGTAAGATAGATCTATAGAGAGAGGTCAACCAATGGTGCCCTTGTGGCTGTGATTTGAATAAAAAAGGTTGCTTTCTTCACCACCACTTGGCCAAGTCTCTGGCTGCCAAAAAAAAGTGGTCTATAGAAAAAAAAATGCAATCACACTCTCGTAATCCCCTTTTTCTTTCTTCTTTTATTGGAGTGTTGTAATTTTGTAAATAGGTTATGAGTATCACATCTCTTTTAACCTTTTGTCGGGTCTTGGTGCAGTTTAGATTTATTAAGTTGAGCATATATTTAATAGGTAGGTTGGATTTACTAAACTCACAAAAATTACTTTTAAAAATCCAACATATAAGTGTAAAATCATTATTTATAGTCAACATGAACTTAGCTCGGAGATAGTTGACATCTGTCTCTAACCAATCAAGAGGTATTGAGTTCGAATCTCTCATCCCACTTGTTACATCCAAAAAAAGACACTCGAAGGTCCGATTGTCAAACCGAGTATAGCTCAGCGACAATTGGTATATACATCCAACCAAAAGGTTGTGAGTTCGAATCCCTTCCCCAACATGTTGTACTAAAAAAAATCATCATGGGATTGACCTATAGATGGTAAAAGGGTTAGAAGAAATATTTTCAAAACATAGATTTAATATCTTACTAGTTTTCTTGACAGTATCTTTTTTCTTTTTTAAAAAAGAAGAAATAAAAAATGATAAAAATAAGAAACATAAACATCATCAAATGACACTAAAAGGTAAGATTTCAAATGGTCATTAGTTTGATATTCTTAGAGCATTGAAAATGGTCAATAATTGTAAATAGATGGTGGTACTCCATCCGGATCTTGAATTTAAATCTTCACCTCTATTTGAAAAAAGACATAGCAATGAACTTAGCACCAAAAAAAAAAAAAGAAAGATTATTGAAGGGCATTATTGGGTAGTTGATGTCAATTTAAAAATGAAGGGTTGGAATGAGTTTGAACCCAACCAAGATATTGACATTAATGACAACACTGCCCTTCCATTTCCACACCACTTTTTATTCTACTAAATTTTCCAACACCAAAGTCTTCAACTGTCTCTCTTCTCGTCGATTTAAAAACTATAATTTAAAATTTTTCATTAATATCTCTATATATTAAAACTTCCTAAATTAATATTCATATAGGTAGCAAAAAATAAAATAACATCTAGAAATTTGAATCTCCAACTTTTTTTTTTTTTTTGAAAAATATGTCTTAACTTGAACTATGTTCAAATTGACATATAATAGAAACGATTTGATACGAGTATCATAATTTAATATTTTATTTTCGACCGATAGGTGAAACATGAATTTGTGTCAGGTGAGATCGGGGCTAGTTTAATATTAGATTGTAAGTTATAATATTGACTCCTAAGTTATTGTAGTCGTAGGTAACTAAAATTAAACACTCCACTGTACTTATATTTCAGCTATATTTAGATACCACTGCAAAATGTCATACCAGATTTCATTTTTATGTTTAAATTATTAATTAACATTTTAATAACAATATTAACTTTATCAAAACTCATTACCAACTAATCCTTTGGCCCAAAAAGAAAAACTAAGAAAATATCTCTAGCCACTAAAAAAATACCAAGAATCTATTACCCTAATAAATCAGTAATTACTAGGACAATATACAATATTGATTAATAAAACTAACAATATGAAATTGTTGAATGACATTACACACACATATAATAGAAAACATTGAGAAAATCAAGAAAACTAGCTTGCATCTATTATCACTATGTACAATAATAGCATTTTAATCTGATAATCACATGTAACAATAAGATCTATATCATGATTTTCTCATGAATCAAGTGGAAGAATTTAGAGGTGAGAATTCTGAGGCATTAAGTTGAATTTATGGTCAGTTTGGTCATGAAGAACTTTTGTTTCTTCTTTTGCTGTACCAACATTGCTCCTCTAGACTCAGAAAACTCATAGTTACCTCCCCCCTCTACCATTTTTTTACTTCTGAAATTCTCAAAATCCTATTTCTTCTCCCATTATCCTATTTTTTCCCATCATGATTTGGATTTAAATACGGTCCCTAACTTTTGATTTTGGTTCATTCCTATCTTTAAATTTTCATTTTATCCATGCATTTTCAACTTTAGTTCATTTTAATTATTTTCAAAATGTTTGTTTTAAAAATACAAAGACTAAAATGGACGTTTTGAATATAACCATTTTATGATTCTTAGTCCTACAGTTGGCAAGAAGCTTAGTACAATACTATTTAAGTATTTGTCCCTACTTTAGAAACTAACATCTTCTTTTGGAATTCAAAAGACATATTTTGTGAAATATTAGAATGCTGGCAATATTTAACCACCTATACTTATACAATCAATTCAATGGGCCATATACATTTTTAGAAAGAGGGAAAAGACAACACATAACTTTGTCAGCTTGCTCCAAGAACTTGACAACGTTAACATGAAGGCAGACTAGGCCTAAGTTCTTTTGGGAACCATTTTTAGGCTAATTTCATCTTTTTCCACAGCATTAATTAACTACACAGAAGAGAAAAAACATATTCAACCAATCCAGCTAGATTATTCAGAAAGCATACCAATGACAAAATGAACTGTATTCATGTTATCCAGAAAGCATGTATTGACAAAATGAACTGTAGTGATGGTATTAGTGACGAGAGTTTTAATGTTTCTTTCCTGACCGATTGGGAATCATAGCTTCTTAAAATCGACAGCGCCCACTGATTTCAGAGCCACACACATCTGTCGGTCTTGATGACAGTTGACAGGTATGTACAACAGGAAATTCCAGATTCAGTCTTCCTTCGTATCCACGGCATCCACTGCTTTCGGAAGTGGGTGTTGCTGACCAGCTTGAGGTTCTAACTCCACCTGTAAAGAAAAAGCTTGCTTCAACCAAGTCAGAGAAGCAAAAGATAGGTGGAGGGCACCCACAAATCTGTTGTTACGAGGCAACATACAAAATACAACTACAAATACAGATACAGATATGTATCTCGTTTCACATAAGAAAATAAAAACACATATTATTATAATGTCAATCTTATGCTTAGGGTCGTATGCATCTCTGACGTCTTCTGTAGCTAGAGTATATGCATAATACATTATGATTTGGGATCATGATATCATTTTCAGTTTAAGGTAGAGTCTGATGGGAGAGAAAAATCGCTGGATGTCATCAAATTTGAAGGGAGCAATCTCCAAATAATTTGTTCAAAAACTTGAAAAAAAAAAAAAAAGCGAGGTCCTAAAAACCCGTTATTCTCTTTTCCAAAAACTACGTTTTAAGTTAGAACTCAAGAAAACAGATTTACAACCTACAAAATTGACCTGCTGAAGTAAAGGCGTTGCTCCTTTTGAAACTACTTACCATTGCAAAACACTGACCACAAGCACCTAATCAACGCACATGATCTATTTCCAATATCTTAAAGGAACTCCCTCATCTTGTAAACATGAATCTCTCTTTACCTTTCAAAGAAAATTTGAAATTCTTCCATTACCCTAAATCAGAAGTCGTTAGAAGTTCCTTAATTAGTTTAGAAAACTACGTAGAAACAAGCCAACATGAAGATTCACGGATCAAAGTTGATGCTTCTTCAAAACATTCACAAATCATTTATTCCCAATTTCTGAAGAGCACGCATTCCCAACTCCCCTTGTCACAAGAAGTAACTAGGCAAAACCCTGTTAAAGCTCCTCAGTATGCCCAGACTATTGAAATGGCTTCAGCGGAAATAACTAATAAAATACAGCAGGTTTTGGAACTCCTTCATTGTTTTCAAAACCTAGCGTAGCTAGCAACAAGCATCCAGTCCATTAGAAGATTTATGATTCCAAATTGAAACTTCTGCACACATAATTTATTTCCAGTTTCTCAACAAAAAGTTCATCTGATCCCCTCATAACTCCTCGGCAAGCCCAAACTTATCGCAATAGCTTCTTCAGAAGACAATTAGAAGATACAAATGAAATAAAAGCGATAGCAGATAACTCACATTTCCATTTTGTTTTGCAGCAGGGCGATAGGGACAAGCCGGTGGTACCCTTTCCGGTTTTCTATACTCCCAGCCAAAAAGTCCATAAATTTTTCCCTGAAAGAAAATTCAAGAAACACAAAAGAAAAGGGGGGCGAAAACAGCGAATTGGGACGATTATTAACGAAATTCCATTCAATAGCACAGAAAACTCGAAATCTTTAAGAGATAGAGAGATAAATCACGTTGGCATACCATAATTAAGTAGAACAGAACCGGCAGGGCGTTGACGACTGGAATGAGAAACAGAGGCAATAGACACGCCAAGCAAACCTAATCAAAAGAAAAAACAAGCGTAAAAGATCAATTTAGCAACCTGGTGCAAGAAATTTAGGGATTTACCATTTTGGAGTCGATTTGCCAAAAGATTGAAGAAGACGATCGCAAATCTGACGAACCGGCGGACCCCTTGATGAATCTGAATCAATCTGAGTCAAGGAGATGAAAATCAAAACCGTCAATATTAATGAAACGAGAAAAAGAAAGGAAAAAAAATAAAAAAAATGGCCCATGCAGGTCTCGAACCTGCGACCTTCGCGTTATTAGCACGACGCTCTAACCAACTGAGCTAATAGGCCGTTTGATGATAAGTACATATTTTATTTTATTTGTTTCTTGTTTGTTTAATATGAATCATAGTGTTATACCATAATTTCTCCTCACCATTATTTTAACTCGTTTTTAATCCTCTTATTTTATGAATTGATATACAAAATTTTTATATTTTGTATTTAATATCAAAATTGTCCAAGAGCAACTTAATTCAACATCATAATATAAATTTCTTCATTAATTCCAGTGAGATTGAGCATCATGACTTTTTTTTTTCATTTTCTATTGCAGCCAAAAGGTCTCTTAGGTGTCAATTTCTAAAGTTTGTTGTTAGTGAAAATTACAACAGCTCGAGAAAGTAAACAACGGATACTAACTGAAGTATGCGACAGAGTTAACGTTGAACTAACTTGTTTGTCAATCAAGTTGTTGGATGATTATAACAACCGTATTTGGGGCGGATATGGGGTCCTTTATATTTGATATTCGTTCTTTAGTTTTTTGTATTTCTCATTTCTCTTTTCTTCACGATGATAGACATCTAAACTTCTTAGTTTACACATTTTTTCAATTAGAGTCGCATTCGTTTACTTCTCTCCAAAGATAAAAGGATATTTGTGCCACATCATTGTTTGTTTCTCAAAACTAATGAAATTTCTCTTTCCAAAAAATCCTTTTTCAACAAATCATTGAAGATTGTGATAATTGATCATATGATCCCATATCTCTCTCAAGGATTGGTAATTCATCCACAAAACAACACAACACAAACAAGATAGGGTTGGAACTATAAGAAAAATGACAAACTATATAAAAGCAAAAGCTCCCATCATGTGTGTTGTGTTGAGTTAAAATGGTTATAGCTCAAACTCAAACCTTTGGACAAGACTAGTCATATATAATGGGCTGTAGTGTCCCCTCCTCTGCCAAAGCCCACCACTCAAAAAAGCCCTTTGCTTTTCCAATTCTATGGTGTTTTTTTCCTTTGGGGGGAATTTCCATTCACAGAAAGATTTCTGGCTTTTGGACACATGGGTCTTCATGTTCTTCTTCAACAGAAGATTTAGAGGGAGAGATTTTATGCCAAAACCCTTATCCATGGCCATGGGCCCTTGTTCTGTCATCCCAATGCCCACCCCAAATTATTTCTACTGCTGTCCTCTCCTCTGCGGCCACTCCTTATGATAACAATAGGGCTCATTCATAAAACTCAATAATGACATTTTTATTCATAAAGCTTTTGTTGGCCATTCAAGACTTTATACTTCGACCATCTCACCTTTTCATTTCTTGACATTCTCTTAATTAAAACCCATTTGTAAGGTTATAATCTTTTGCATAACCCTCCAAAGATATTTGCATTTTGTACAGTGGAAGTTGAATTTATGCGACATATGCATTAAAAATAATAATATACCATAACTCAACCTTGAGCTCAAGTATTTGAGTTTAATGATAGTTTAATATGGTATTATAGTAGGTCTTAAATTTAAATACCTATGTATCATCCTCTTATTCCTAATTCATATTATCACGGTGATAGTTTGAGTGAGACTTTTGAGATGATGATAAATGTTTTCCGCCAATTAAAACAACTTTTGAAAATCATCCTAACTTAAAAGGTTTATGTAAAAGTAATCACTTTTGAAAATCATCCTGACTTAAAGGTTTATGTAAAAGTACTTAATTAGTAATTCTGTAACTCAAGAACGCTTTTTTTATATCCAAAAGTCTGTCTCAAACTCACTAGTTTAACCTTGTGTTTGGGCAGGCCTGAACTTTACAACTTAAAAGCCAAAACATCTTTCAATATTTGAAAGCAAAATTTGCAGAATAATGATAAAAGGAAAAAGCTTAGCCCACCACATTCCACATGGTGGGAAGGCAGACATGTTTGTTTGGGAGAAGTGGAAGCTGCCAGATGAAGCTTTTAAACATATTGGAATTTGGCATCTCTGCCATATTTTCTAAGCTCAAAAACAAAACAAAAAAATATTCTAAAAGATGAAGAAAGAGAAGGAATTGGACAATGGCTCATCAATCTTGGTTTGGAAACACTCCAATTAATGTAATGGTTAAAGAATAATATCCCTAACTTTTGGACCCATTTTATGCACCATCATTTGTAAGATAATGGAGGGGTGTGCCCAATTTTTGTTGTGTTTCTTCTCCTTCTTTTTATATTGCATTATTGTTTGTCAAAAGGGGCATCTGTAAAATGGTGAGTTTTATTGGCAAAGAAAGAGACAGGCTTTCTTGTGTTCAAAATCAAGTTTTTATCTGTTTTCTTGTGCATTTTTTTCCTCACTACTCTTAATGTATTTTCTTCTCTTGTAGTTGAGTTTTTAATGTATATATTTTGGGTTTTTTTTGCTTTGGTGGGATTTTGAAATGTGGGTCTCACTGCCCTTTGTCTCTAATCTAAAGTTTGAAAAAGGGGTGTTTTCACAGATTGACACAACAAATTGACAGTTGATGTGAAGGACATAGATCATTATATATTATAATTAAACTCCTTTTAATTTACCATACATGTTAAGTTAAGGATTGTAAAATGATTGTCCAAAAATTATGGATGATTAGAATAGTTGATTGATGGGTTTCTTGACCGTTGGGATGAGAGTAGAGTTATGCAAAACCCTTATTTTGACAGCTTGTGCATGAACAAGTGTTTTTTTCCCAAATGTAATGGAGACAGAGGAGATTGAACCTTTAAACCTCTGAGAAATGAGCGGAGTAAGATGTCTTAGCTTAATCGTTGAGTTTCGCTACGTTGGTCATTCAATTCCTATTAATAATATTATAGTTTGTATGAATTAATGCTGAGGTGGTTAAGACGAGATTAGGAGTGAAACAAACACTCTTTTTTAGGGACAAAATTTTACATTTTATTTTATATTTGTATAATATATATACTTTTTTTTATTCTAAAAATTTTGGAGGAAAATTAGAAAGAACTTTAAAATCCGAATGTTTTTATATAATTTTCTTAATCGAGTCTATATCTTCCTTTCTTTTTTTCTTTTTTTTTTTACTACTCCTGCTATGGTCATGCATGCCTTCAATGTCATATTTTGTGTATGTGTATAGATGACTTTACACATACGACTATAGACGATGATCGTACTTAATTAATCACATAATATCCATTCTGAAGATAAATCATTAGTATGTTGTAACTTTCTGTCACAATTTTGTYGGAATTGCGATGAGTACAAACAAGGATTGATCCATAATGTATGCGTGAGAACAATTATCTTTATTGGTGTGAACTTTTTGTTGGTGAAATTAAAAGCAAAGCTTAGGATCAACATTTCATAAAATTAATTTTCGCTAATTCTTTTTCCATAGTCTCTTGTCTTTATGACTAATTTAATAAGTGGGAAACACTAATTTTGGTTCATGCATGCTTTTAATCTAATCTAAAAAGGAAACATGAAAAACATATTGCGACAGAACTTGATTTGTGATCTAAAAAAAGTATATAAAAAGTAATATTCAAACATTGAAATAGAATTAGAGTTTTATTTAGACTAAACATAGACACGATCTCTATTCTTTACTCATTTCTCCGTTTGTTCCTCGATCTTTAAAATTCTCAATTTGACCTTGAATTTATTAAACTTTTTCAATTAGGTCCTTTTAAAAAAATTAATTTGTCAACAAAAAGTTGATAAATCATTGAATTGTTGTTTTACTAACCTATAATAACATGTCACTCAAATGTTATTTGACACATAAAATTCAATCTCATTGCAAAATCCTAACCCATCAATAAATTAACAAAATTCATTTTTTCTCATGTGACGACATATTGGCATATTCAAATACATTAATAAAACAATACTTTTTTTAATACAACAAATTTTGTGATGAGGTTCGAAGACCTCAAAAGATAAAACAATAGTTTAATGACACGTCAGTTTATGTCAATAGATTTGAACAATTTTTTTTTAAGCTAAGAACCTAGTTGAGATATTTAATACATTAGGAGCAAAACTAACAAAATATATATATATATATATATATATATATATATACACATACTCGAATACTTATAAAAGTTCGAATTTTCGTACACCCATGTTGTAGAACTCAAAAAAAAAAATATAATAATTATCTAAATTATTTATAAAAGAATAGAGCAAATAATAGAGCACGAAAAAAAAGTGACATTATTTGAAAACATATAACACGTCTTAGATTTCGGTTTTTAGTTTTCTTTTTTAACTCGTATTCAAAAGTAGTTTTCTTTTTCTTTCCTTCTCTTTTAAGAAATTTATGTTAGTCATTTGTCAAATTATTGTATATATTTATATTCATTATTCATTTAAAAGAATTTCTGGTTTAGCTAAACTCATGTTTTTAATTCTAAATTAAATAGAATCTAAATTAAAATTTATGTATATATAACAATTTGGGTCATTTCTTTCACCAATGGTAAAAGTAAAAAACATGAGCTTCTAAGTTACCAATATAATAAGGTCAAATCCCCTGTATTCAATAAAAGAAAAAAAGAAATCCCCTATACTTTTTCCATCTCAATAATAGGCTTCACCTTTCTCTGCCAATCAATAATTGATGCATATTGCTATCAGAAAACAAAAAATAAGGAAATAATTTATGCATATTTTTCAATGTCCTGCAATATTACAATGCCCATTATTGATTTTTTTTCCTCCAAATTTTATTTCTTTAGGCTGTGAAGTTTGGACCATAACCTTTTTTTGGAATTCACTAACCTATATTTCTTGAATTAATCAAAAAAAGTAAACTTGCAATAAATTATAGAACATCAATATAAACAGTAGAAAAATAAAAACACAGTTCCTATAATTTTCTTTGTTTTATTATAAAATCAAACAGATTATGTCAAGTTACACTTTTAGCCCCCTAAAGCTTAAATTTGCTTTTTTTTTTTTATCTAGTTCTTTGAATTTATAGTCTTAATACTAAAAGTGAGTTTGAGATAATTTTTTTTAGCTAAACATTAATTCAATTCTTATTCTAAAAGGCACTTTATTTGATTTTCAAGATGTTTATAGAGTTCGTAAAAAATGAAAAAAATCACTTTTTACTATGTAATTCAAATAATATAAAAGAAAAAAACTTTGAAAAGTGCTTCTATCCTCTCGAAAATAATATCAAAACTCATTAATGACCATAACTTGAGCATAGTTCAACTGATTAAGTTATCTATCTCTAACGAAAAATGCGGTTCAAATTCTTACTTCCACATGTTGTACTAACAATTAATGGGAGACCTCGTTCTTACTCGATGAAATGACGACAAAAAAGGAAAGCCCATTAGCCATTAAACTCCATAAAATAAACAGAAAAACACCACACAATATTTCATTTATTTTTCTTGGCTTAAAAATACATCATTTTCCTCTTCTTTTTTCTCTCTTTTTGTTTTTTGGTTTTTTTTTCTTTTTTCTAATCTTCACCTGTTGGAGATTTGGTCAACAATTCTCGTATCTGTTCCCTTTCTGTGCCATTTCGGGACCCAACAACACCCTCTTCAAAATAAAATTCCAACCCAATAAATCCAACAAAAAAAAAAGAAAGTAAAAATTTAATGCATGGGGAAATCAACAGTACCCAAATTTCCCCTTCTCTAATGCCAACACTCCGGTGTTAAAGAATGGTCTCTCTTATTATCCCAACAATAGTTATAAACCAAGTGCCGGCTCTGCACCCATCTCATCGCGTTCCTCTGCTGCCTCGTCAGCCCCCCCGACCGGAACGGCGACGCCGACACCGGCCGGCACCTCGCCGGCGAGTACGCTGAACAACCCCCCGCTTTGAAATTCCTGTACTTCGCCACAAATGGCTGGTACCTGTAATCGGCTCTGTATTTTCCGTCTTCTGTTGCCCACGACGAAGCATCCCATATCGAACCGTACAGCCACATTGGCCTCAGCGGGAACGTCGCCGCGCTCTTCCTTGGGTACCTCCTTATGGGTATGTCGTCCACGAGAAATCTGAAAAACAGAGGAAAAAACAGAGCAGCCATATTGAAATCTGAAAACAGAGCACCCAGATTGATAATTGTGGGTAATTTGCGTACATGATTTCGTTTGGGCTCCAGAGAATGGCGTAGTGATGGAAATCTTTGGTGGGATCGAACCAGAGGTTGAATTTCATCTCTCGGCCGATGATTCGTCCGTCTCCACTTCCTCTGATGTACACATTGGTCTGTAATGTGTACGGCTTCCCGAATGTCGTCCCCAGGAACTCGATGTCGACCTCGTCGTGGAACCCCGGGTGAGCCTCATTGTTCGAGAGCTGCCGTTCATCAGAAGTTAGGTTACCATTCAACTCAAAAGCGCATTAGAGAGAGATGTCATTAGACTTTAAAAACTTAGGTTGATGGATTACGGTGGATAGATGAGTGACTTTACATAGAATGCAGTGATGACACCTGCAGTGTATCCGGGTTGAAGCTTGATAGAGGCACCGAAGTAGCCGGATCGGAATGGGCGAACGGACTTGAACCCACTTCCTAATTTGCGAAAGGCGCTCAACAAGTGACTTTCAATATTAACTGAGAAGAAATGACATAGTTAAAAATTTTGCTCTGATACCTGAAGAGCGATCAAGCCATATCGAGAGAGTGTTTTGGTCGAATCTTTGGTGTTGGGGTCCCCAGAGGTTTCGGAATCCTCGGTAAAAGTCAATGTTTCGGAAGCGGGTGCTCGGCCAGAAACCGGGGGACGGGGGCCACTCGGCGGTGGCAGCGAGTGGCATTAGGAAGAGGAGGAGGTGGAGGAGGGCCATGGAGGAGAGGGAAGTGGAAGAAGAAACTGACAGTGTGGTTTTTATGGATGTGTAAATGCAGGGTGAGAGAGAAAGAAGAGAAAGAAAGGGAAGGGGAAATGAAATGAAATGAAATCAAAGTGTAGGGAGAAAACAGAGCATGGGAGATGAATAAATAAGATTTTTTGCTTTATTGGGACCCATAATTACTTTTTTACCCAATTGGGGTTGAAAAAACAAAATCAGAATTCCTCTATTGAATTCAGCACATTTAATGGGGATCTGAATATTGTGTAATAAAGAAATTTAGAGAGAAAAAAAAAGTGTTTTTTACCATGTTAATTTGAGAATGAAAGTTGTATTGAACAACTTTTTCTATTTGTAAAAAAATTCAAGATCTCAAAAAATGAGAGAGAGTTAAGCTACATAAACCAAAAATACATATGATTCATAAAAGCAGCATCGGAACTAAGAAATATATTAGATGAAAAAATCAAAGTCATTTGAAATGATTTAGTTCATTAGTTCAAGAATAATCAAATCAAATGATTGTATTGAATTGTGTTGTACTAAGTTTAATCCCATTCTCCCGATATCAAAATATGATTTTCTTATAAGCTATTTATCTCAATTATTAAAATAAAAAGTTTTGGCATCGAATCATATCAAATCAAAATAGAAAAAATACATTATATTATATGGTTTTATGTTAATTTATCACCGCCACTCGAGTCAAAATAAAAATCATCTAAAAAATTTGTTAGGTTATGAGAAAGAAAAAAATACTTGAGTCCTAACTCTTTTAACTCCTATTTTGTACTCTTTAGAATTTATATGAAGCACGTAATGAGTTACTCGAGTATTGACGGTTTTTAATTTAATGACAGTCAACATCTACATTTTTCTATGTTATTTGTCAAGAATGTAACGTCAATAAGCACCTCACGAAAACAAAATGCGGATGCCAAAATAGAAGATCTATTTCCTTCCTCATCTCAACCATCTTCCTTCCCTCACTTTAATGACAAAACATGTAACTCTCGTTGTGAAAAAAATTTGAAAAGAGAGGGTAGATGGCTTTGCTTTTATTGTCATTTTCTCCTCTCTCTCTTAAAAAAAACTCATTCCCTCGTTGAAAGCTACTTTTCTTCCACTATTCCTCTTGCCCACAAAGAATGAAAAAAAAACTAAATTTATCATAATAGACCAGTTTTCTACCAGGAGGGAATGATTTGAACATTTGACCTTTTGATAGAGAATGTTAAGAATGAATAAACCACTACTCAACTCAAAAACTGGAAATCATAATAAATAGGGAGGTAACAACAATGCAGGAGTTTGAACACAGGACCTCCAACTCTGATACCATATCAATATTTATGGGATTATCTCAAAACCAATTGACGATAAGATGAATAGCTCATGTCTATTATAAACTATTATAAGGTCTCTTTTCTTTTCAATGTGAGGTTCCTTTTCTTTTCAATGTGGGATCTTTAACATCGTGGTATCAGAGCGCAACACGCTCAAAAGAGCATCCGATCAAAAAAAGGGATCTGGCCAAGATCGATGAGTCAAAAGAGCCACGATCTTGAGAGAGCATATTAAAGATATGCCACATTGGAAAGAAGAGGGACCTAACAAGGGTCTATAATAAACATGAGCTACTTCCCTCATTCCCTTAATTGTTAATTAATTTTTAGATGAAACCTCATGAATATTGATAAAACAATGACGATCTGTGTATACATAGTGTGTTCCTTGCAACGCGCGTTCAATCATTTAATTCTTACCAATCAAATACAAAAACGAAAAAAGAATGGAATCACAAACCCGAGTGCATATGAAGTATAAATAAAGTTATTCCTATTTTGTTATTAAGAGACAAAATAAAAATAAAATGGGGAAGGACATGAAAGTTGTGAAAGTGATGAGTTTAGTAGTTAATGTCATTCTTGCCCAAACACATCTTTAACCGCATACAGTTAGTTGGGTTTTACCGTTTTTTCTGCCCTTTCCTTTTCATTTTTATCCAAAAGGGGTAAAAAGAAATTCCCGTCTGACACTCACAGGGGAGGTAAAACAAAGGACGTGGGCCCGCGTCTTATATAGTCAAGTTTTGCTTTTATTTTTTTATCCCATCAATACTGTGGGCCCCAACACGCGGCATCTTGATCGGGCGGGCCCCACTTCTGATCTTCTTGACTGTGGGAGTAACACTGTAACTAAAATGGAGTCTCGTGTACCCTATCATTTTTCATTATAAGGTATGGACAGGACACAAATCTTTCTTGTCACTAAAAAGGTAACGAATATTATCATCATAGCTTATGATTTTAGATTCGGTAAATTAGGATATTATATTAATGTTAATTGTCCTTGCCTACATCTTGGTTCTACCAATTGGCCTTCTCATCAACCTTTTATCTCTTTCTAGCAATCTTCTTCTTTTCAATTTCTTTTTTGTTTTTCTATAAAACAGTTTGAAATGGGAAGATTCGTGATATTTTTGTGTAATGCARTGAGTATTATAAATAGTATTATTAATTAAAGTGTATATATCAGTCAATATACTAGAGGAGGAAACCAAATAGCTCATCACGTGCTTTGGAAGTCATTAAGAGTTCAACGTTACGCTTGTGGTCCTCTAATAAATCTTTTTGGAAATAATTTAAACTAGAACCGAAACTTACAAAATTAGATTTCTACCTTGGCAATTCATTTCTTTATATCTTACCACTCCTATTTATAAAGAAACACACTTGATTGTGCAGTCAAATAAAAAATAAGAAATAAGAAAGTAGATATTTTTTATTTCTAATTTTAATAATTTTAAAAAATAATATATTAAGTGGAGATTTGAAACTACAATATTTTAGTAATAGATATTAAAATTATATTCAATTAACAGTATTAAAAAACTTTTATTTAGAGTATAAGATAGATAAATGAAACCATGCATAACCTAATTAAAAATAAAACATAACAAAAAAATTAATCTAACGAAATAATAAAATGACTAATTGGAGATCCAAACCTACAATTTTTAGTATAACATGTGAGGGTGGGGAATTGAACTCACAATTTCTCAATTGAAGATATACGTAAATTACTGCTGAACTATATTCATTCTAATTGTGTTAAAAAGCTTTTACTTGCGTCATATTCAACATAGAGATAAATCCGTACATAACATAATTAAATAATTTTAGAGGGTGGAATAAATACAAAGAGAGAACCATACTCCATTAATGAAATGACACATGATCATAATTTAAATATTGTTTTAAGAAATTGATGCGGTGGGCCACATTGTGGTAAGTATTTATGTGGTCGGAGATTTTGGTGTATTCAGTGCGGGAGGGTACATGGAATTAAATTGTTTCATTAACTCTGATCCCTTAATTATCCTTCATTCAATGGGCACTGACGGCTGAGATTTCACCATTTGTCCACCGATGTATTTTGGAGTACCGTAGGCTCAAGTACACTGGATTCTTCCAACGGATGCTTAGGCTTTTGCAGAACGAACGGCGCGTTGACAAATGCGTACGCTCACAGGCACCGCACTATAGTGTCGGCCAGTCATCGATTGCCAGCTGGATCCCAACGGGTGCATGAATTTTCCATCATTTTAGACTATGCTCATCAAAAATAAGATAACACATTTAAGGAAACTTTTTTCTCTCTTTCCTTTCTTTTTTTTTTTTTGGAGTTTCTGCTCATGTTTGGAAATAAAGCAATTATATTTTATCTTATCATTATTATTATTACTACAATTATATTTCTTAAACAATAGAAGTGTTTAACCACCGTTGAATATAAAATTTTTGGCTGATAAATTATGATTAGTTTATTTATTTACTTATATTATAATTTATACCACTCCTCTTCACTGTATGAGTTTGTGGAGTTTGAATACGAAACTTAAAAACGGTGTTAGAGTAATATTTAACCTAAAATATTTAGTTGAGAGGTTATAGTGGATTTTAGATGGATATGGACATATGATATGTTAATTTGATTTATTGTTAAATCATTATTTAACCAAAAAAAATAAATTGATGGGTTATAGTAAAATTTTAATTAACTATTAATTCATGTTCTAACCATAAGTGTCAATCAAGTGGTTGATGGTCATCGTACCTAGTGTTTTTTAGATTGTGGATCATAGAAAATTGATCGTCGTTATTATTTTGGATATTATTTATGTGGTATTTATAAAACAAGTTATATCTTAGTGAAATGTTTCACTTCGATATATGAGTTTCAAGAAAACAATATTTAACGCGTGAATTTGTGATACGATTTTAAGTATAGTTTAGGAACATAGTTGTTTTTGTTAATGATGTTAATCAAGACTTTTGCAATATATGTTGTTAGTTTTAAATTTTGTAATAAGGTTATTAATTTCATATGATATAATTTTTCCCTTTACTTATTTGGCTTTCTTTCTATGTGGGTAAAAGAGAACAGAAATTAATGAAAATTGTGATGAATATAAGCCAAATTATATCCTTATTTAACTTGTCCAAACATATTTTTTCGGGGACATTACTAAAGAAAAGCAGTGATTGATTTGACCAATTTATCATACTTTAAATTGCAATGTGAAATTAAACATCTTCTTCAAATACTAGAAATGTATTTTTCTTTTAAAAAAAACTTTTTTTTCTTTTACAAAAGTTATAAATAGAGCTTTTTAGAAATTAAAAAAAGGTGCCCTTGCTTTGGTCATGCAAAATTCGATAAAATTTGTGATAATCCCACTCATACTTTGCTATTATTCGATGTCACATTCAATTTCTATATCATAATCATTATTAAATATGAAATAACAACAATAATAATTATATTTTAAAAAAAAAGTAGAAAGAACCCAAAATTGAAAATTCGAACCCTCGGCAGCCGACAGATCTAAAAGCATGTAGAAACAAACCAAAACAAACCAAACCACTACATATCTAAAATCCCCTAAAAAAATTCCAATAAATAATAATAATAATACCAAAATAGAAACATCAAAGGAAAACTAATATAAATATATTTAAATTTCCATATACTGTATTGGAATTATATTAGTATATATATATATAAAGAATAAGGATATGATATCGAAAAGAAATAATATAATATAAAAATAGAGGTATCATAAGTTCTAGATCACAAAATCCCATTGGATACCTGCTACATCATTCATGCATATGCATATGACAAAAAATTATTGATAAAAGGTTTTGAATTATTAATGGAAAAATATAGTAATATTTGTAAGAGAAAAAAAAAAAAGAGAATCTGAGCCCTACCGACACTTTCTATTGGCTGTACACACGCAACAAAATATTGTATTTTACCCCAAGAGGGAAATTTTGTACTTTTTTTTTGTGATATTAAAAAAAAAGGAAAAAAATTTAGATCCACTGATTATTAATATTATTCTGTTTGCTTTTTAATTTATCTTCATATTGTTTTCTCTATTTATTATTGAATCCCCTCATTTTGAGTGGGCTTGACGTGGTTGTCAGACCCAGCCCATCACAGTTTGCACAATTTTCATTTTTATTTTTTTTAATTTAAAAATTAAGGTAATTTTAAAAATTAAATACAGTTTTTTGCACAATGTTTTTCCACCCATCTATATTTATGTGTTGACCTCATTTATTTTTATATTTCAGTGAAGATTGAACCATCCATCATTCAAATGATATTAAGGCACTTGACCATTCATAAAAAGATATTTATATTATATTTAATTTATAGGTTGTGATTTTGAACCCTCGTTCCCATGGTTATATTAAAAAAAAGTATAGCTCTAAATATATAAATTCGTACATATGAATTTTAATTAGACAAGATGATACAAATATAAAGATAGGGAGAACTTGCCAGTGTGGAAAGAATAGACATGACATATGTAATAATTGAACTTGAATGACAACGTTTTCTTTCCATTTCCAATTTCATATCATTTAAAAATAACATAAAATTAAGTTTTGTAATTGTCATACTGTCGCCATTTTAGATGCCGCAAAATACCTTATAATTACCTTTTTTTTTTCTTTTTCTTTCGAGTTCAATTATTGTCCGTGGGCTAGGATGGTAATATGTGTCTTGGTAATAAAAGTAAAGAAAAGAAAAAAGAACGTTAATTGTACAACATGATATTTTTCAAGGAAATTAAACTCAATGCTCTTGGGATTTCGAGCTCAAAAAAAACTTTAATTAAAAGATAAAAGTGAAGACTTTTATCACCTCCTTTATGAGGACACTAAAAATGATTCTGAATATGTGATGGGACTAATTATGTAATAATCTTTTATAGTTTCACAAAATCTGTTAAATTTAAATTGGGGAAATTTTGAACCTCAGACAAACAAATAAAAGAAATGATTTGAATCGCTTTATGATCGAAGAAGAATTTACCATGGTGATGAAACTGAGACTGAAACTACAAAAAGGGGATTTATGATTGATTACATGCGGGAAGTGGAAGATCCGAAGGCCTCCATTATTGGGGTTCATATAAAAACTTAAATGAAGATGGTACGATCGTACCCAGTCGCCGGCATCACCAAACTTCATAAATTGGATCATTATTTAATGGGGTAAGATTTTGAACGGTGTACAGAAGCCCATAATCCGTATCCCCAGAAAATACAAAAAGTGAAACGCCATTAAAACAAGAGACCCAAAATGTAGGATTCTCAAATCCACCGCAGGCCAGAGCTGTTCTTCTTGTGCTGTGCTGGGGTCCAATCCCATCCCAGATGGGGTTTTTGACAGTAACCCTTAGCCCATGGATCTGCCGGCACTTGGCTGAATTACAGCCGCTGGATCGGACGAAACTTGCAGTTTTCATCGCCGTTTAGTTGCAGAATCCATTTTCTAGCGAATGCTGAAGAGGGGGGCGGTTTTCTTCTTCGGTAATTCCGCCACGCTCCTCTACAGGATTCACTGTTTACTTTTTTTGAAGGATTAAAAGGTACTGCCCCTCTGCCCCATTTCTGCTTATGTGAAGATTTCTGAGATCTTTCTGCGTTTTTCTTTCGAAAATTGATGTGGGTTTTTTCTGTCCTCGGTTGATCTGAATCATGCTTTCTTTATGGTGATCGTTTGTCTTGGTGATTTGTTTCCTTAAATGTGGTTGGCAAGTGACATATTTAGGAAATGGTTCGGAAACCATGGATTTGTTACCTGATTGAGAAACATGAACAGTCGAGCCAAATTTATTGAATTAAGCATAATATTCCATCCACGGGTCCTTTTTTTAATTCGTTGGTCATTCTCTGGCATCTTAAATGTGGATTCCTTCAAGAAAGTCCTTGGTAAACTAGAGCAGTAGAGAGTGCACTATTTTCAGTGTAGTGTTTTGGTTGTGGCTTATAAGTTAATTAATAGAGTGCTAAATCTCTGCTGTTGGAGGTCACCTCCTTGAGAATAACATATCAAACTTTGGAGGGGAGGGTGAGTGATTAGTTTCAGTCAATGGATTGGGAATTTCGAGTCACTGTGGGGGGTGGTTTGAAGTAGCTGTAGAAGCTGCTAGCCATGCCATGAAACTAGAGAAGAACAGAAGAAAATTTTCATTTCCTCTCTTCTGGCTTTGGCTTAGTGACTAAACGATGATGACTGCACAAAAGTAAGGGGTCCAAAATTGTTTTGAAGAAGTTAATGCAATATCATGATTCATAACTTTAACGGCTTAAACGAAACCTCTGAACTAAGAGGTGCTTCTAGGCATGAGTGTAGGCTCGAAGCAAATGTTTTGCGCTTTGCTTGGTGTCGAGCAAGGCAATGCCTCTCAAGTGGGTGCCATTGTGCTCTGGTATAGTGTAATTCTTGTTTGGTGAAGGCTTTGAATATCTTCAATGTTCCCTCAACTAATTAAAACAATTTTTAGATTTTTCATGTTATCTATCTATACAAACATCAATAAGTCTTTTAAGAAGCGCTGGAGTGCTCTTGGAGCAAATATTTAATTATTGTTTTAAACGTTAACTACTTTACTTAAAAGCTCCACTCAAAAGCTATGTCAAACACACTCTTAGTTATTCCCATGGTTGCTTTATCACTCCAAGTGCATTTTCCCTTCATTTTCTTACGCACTTCTGTGTCGTTTTTTGAGCCTTTTCTTCTCTTGGAGCATTTCTCCATCTATTTTAGCAGCAGGTGAGAATATATTGCTATTTTAGGAACTTTGCAAATAACAAATGTTATGGTTTTAGAATATTGAAAGCACTATGGTAGTTACTTCCCAAATATATTGTCAAAACTATATACATTCATATTGTAATGAATGTTCATTTTCATATTGAGATAGGTTCCTGTGACATTGTATAGTCTGGGCAGAAGTGGAAGCATTGATAATATTTATCTTCAATTTGGTGGCTAAATTGTTTCCATATATGATATATGATAGGGGCCATTATTATAAACTCATCTATGATTGCTCCTTATTGAAACATTAGAGAGGATATTGTAAAAAATGAAATGAGTATTGTAACATAATGTTAGATACTTTAAAAGGATTACATAAAATTTTCTCAAGTTTCTACCAATTCTTCTCAAAGGACCCTTTATCTTTATCTCATGTGCAGATCACTGCTTTTTAAGGCAATGGTTGTTCATTCTGGAGAAAATGGAAATCAATGGCAGAAATCCTAATCTGAATGGAAACGGAAACCATTCTTCAGGTGATACAAAGGTTGCAATCAATGGCAAGTCTAACGAGACACGCACTTTCGTCAACCATGGTAAGTTTCCCTTGCTCGAACCTTTGATTGTTAAAATCTAGTCTCGAATATCATACTCTTGGTGCATCCTTTTCTGTACAGCGGAGATAGATTGGCACGAAAGAAGAAGAGAATGGGTTGGCGACCGTTCAGAAAACGGGCAACGAGCGCCAATGGAACCGATTTTGAGGTATTCATTTTGCTTTCCCACAACAGTTTCATAGCCACTGCTGGTTTCTCTGTTCTTGTTTGCTGAAGAATGCTTCAGCTACAAGACGGTTAGCCATTGACGACCATCGTTTCGTGTTGCAGCTGGACAACGACTTACGAAGATCTTCTTTTATCTGCAGAGCCTTTCGAGCAGCCTATTCCTTTAGCCGTAAGGTTTCTTGGCTCATCCTCATCCTTCCCTTTTGATTACTTCTACTTTCTAACTTGTTGATGTATAAAATTTCTGTGGAGTGGAATCTGCAGGAAATGGTGGATTTCTTGGTTGATATCTGGCATGAAGATGGCCTCTATGATTAGACATTCTCATACAAACATGGCAGAATTATATTTCACTTCTTTATTTGGCCTTTTTTTCTTCATTTCTGTTATCATCACTCCAGAAAATTGATGATTAGATTACACGGTTCTCTTGTACTCAATACTGATTTGTAACTAACAAAGTGAAACTGATGATTCTTTATTTTTCGTTTCTTTTATGGGTAATCTGCAAATCAGAGATTTTAACTTGCCTTAATGTTAATTCTAATTTTGATATTACATGTAATTGTTGAGGATATAAGGTTTAAATTTTCACCTCCTTACTTTATGAAAATGTTTTTTAGGATATGAAAATTTTTAAAATTTATTAGATTTGGTCCCTATGAATTGGGTCTGAGTGTAGTTTCAATTAGAACTCTATGATTTTGAAAATTTAAATTTAGTTCTAATTTAGTTTTATATTAATCTTTTAGAAGTTAGTTTCAATTTGGTGTCTATGATATGGTCAAATTTCACTACTGTTCTTAGAGTGTGTAAAAAATAGAAGGAAATAAATGGATCTTTTGAGTAAGTAATAAACAATTTTATAAAATTAAGTCCAAATTTAGAGACTAAATTAAAATTTTAAAATGATAGCAATAAAATTGAAACTATAGATCAAATTTGTAATTTGAAAAAGATGTTCTGGGCTTTCTTCTGGGCCCAGCCAAATGAAACCCGAAATTGAGCCCACATCAATCGGCCCAAGGATGATGGGATCTAGGATATGAAATGGAATCAAGAATCAAAGTTTCGTTTTTTATTTTCCTCGTTATGTAAAGTGCGAGGAAGGTGAGGGGGTGGAGGATATTTATAGGATCCATTGCACGACGCGACACAAATTTCAGTTTTCACTTTCAACTTTCAACGGCTGGAGCCGTGCCCACTTCCCCCGCTGCGCAATTTATTCGTTTACGATTCGAGTTAGACCAAGACCCGCGAGGAAAAAAGAGAAAAAAAAAAGCTCCAATTTCTCAGCGATAAACAATCTGTGGCATTCAAAGAACACGTCTATTATATTCCTACCTCTTGAGAGATCCTTCTGCTCAACAAAAGGGGCTGCAAAAAGATCAATTACAATCTTCAGTGTTTGATTACCAGAGGTCAGTTGCTTCACTTCTACTTCCGTAGCTTAGTTGAAAATAGTTTCAGTACTTCAATTGATGGATACCCATTTTGCTTAATTCGTTTAATAAGAGTTGCATATTCTTGCTATTGAGCGAATGCCCATCTGCCCATCTTGTGGGGTTTCCCAAGTTGGCGAGAAGTCTTCAGACTTGTTTATTTTTGCTTCTTTCAATTGAAAATAATGTGAAAAGGGATTTAATGTACCAGAGGACATGGAGATCCACAAAGCAATCGGTGATTGTGATGATCGAAGGCTCAAAACCAAGTACAATAACGCCATCTATGTTGTTAAGAGAGCTCTGGCTTTATATTCGTAAGTACTTTATTTGTCGATTTCTTGTGGTTGTTTGGTGGGGTTGTCCTTACGGAGTTGATGTTGATTGTTATTTGCTGACTGCCTTGAAACTTGTGACTAAAAAGGAGAAATTTCAAACTTAGGTTGACTTTAATTCAGAATTTATAAAATCCTGTAAATTGATCGAATTATCCCAACGGTGTAATTATTGGTTGTTTTAGACTTTAGTTCGAAAGTTGTTTGTTGAACTTATGAAAATGATTTATTTGGATGGATCCATTTAATACATTTTGGTACTTTTAAAGGAAAAGAATAGATGGAACCATTCTACTTATTTCGAATCTGCGTTACTGGTGCTTTCATATTTTTTCTGTACACGATAGTGAATAGTTTCCCATGCATCTGTATCTTTTAAGTTCCTTTAACTTGAAAAAATTACATGCGTTAATGAAGTCAGTGAATTGGCCCTGTGATTGCAAGTGTTCAGCATTTAATTGGCGATCAGATGATGATTGGGATGGGTTAAAAAATCTTAATAATAAGCTAAGGAAAGGAAATATTGGTATGTCTGAATAACATTTCCTGAAATACTGGTATGTCTAATACCATTTCCTGAAATGTAGGATGGTATTTGCCTCTAAGTTTTTCACATGTTAACATATTTAACTTGCATCATTGACAGTACTGAAGAGGTTGCATTCAGCTTCAATGGTGGAAAAGATTCGACTGTAAGCTTTGATGCCTGATTCTCTATTTTTCCAACGAAGATATTGTATTTATCATTGGTTCTGATGGAAAATTGAATGTACAGGTTTTACTGCACATACTTCGAGCTGCCTTTTTCTTGCATAAAGAGGAAGAAGGCTATTCTGTTGATGGACTCAAGGAGTTTCCTATTCGAACAATATACTTTGAGAGCCCTTCTGCTTTTGCTGAAATTAACTCCTTTACTTATGATATGGCAACCAAGTAAGGGAAACACTTTGTATTCACTTTAGGAAATCTATAACATTACTTTTAGTAACAATGTTTTAGCTAACTGCTAATCAGCTTATTATGACATGAACAGCTATGGCTTGAAAATGGATATCATCCGGACAGATTTCAAATCTGGCTTGGAGTCTTTATTGAAGAGTAAACCTGTCAGAGCTATTTTCCTTGGGGTTCGCATTGGAGATCCTACTGCGGTATTTTTTATGCTTTATCTCAATAAACTCTGGATTTTGTAGTAGCTATTTCATTTTGTACCGTTTCTTTTCAAGTTTTAATCAAGTCAAATTGAAGTGGAGATGCCTTGATTTGTCTACTCTCCTCCCTCCTTCAAAATAAACAGGTTGGCCAAGAACAGTTTTCCCCTAGTTCACCTGGATGGCCACCATTTATGAGAGTGAATCCCATTTTGGATTGGTCGTACAGGTCTGGTTTGTTACTACATGCTCCCTTATTTCATTGTAATGGGGATTATTAAACATTCTACCAGGGTAATTTTTCTTTAGTTGACTCCTCAATTTGAGACGAAAAGTCTATGAGGACAATGACCGTGAGCAGAACACTTTTCTACTTAATAGTTGATCTTCTACTTGAGGCAATATATGACCATTGGTTTTTGTGTTCTTCCCCCCTCCTTCCTCTTCTTTCCAGAGATGTATGGGCGTTCATTTTAACTTCCAAGGTTCGGTACTGCAGCCTTTATGATCAAGGGTAATGCTACTAAGAACACAGAGAGTGGTAGTTATTTTTCTTGCTCTTGTAGCTGCAGGATTGTGTTTTTTTGCAATGCCTATTTTATTATTTTCAATGATTTTCCTTGATATTTAAAACTATTTATTTATTTTTATTTTTATAGATATACTTCAATTGGGAGTATTCATGATACACTCCCAAATGCACTGTTGAGCATTAGTAATTCCTCTGGAAGCGAGGGGAAATTTAGACCCGCATACTTGCTTTCAGATGGAAGATCGGAAAGAGCAGGAAGAGCAAAAAGGTTTTCTCCTTCCCTGCTAAATCCTGACAGGAATGGAATGAGAAATGTGGATTTGCAGAAAAACAGCATGCTCACTGCTTCGGTCATAGTTGTTGGAGATGAGATCCTGTAAGTCTCTCGTTTGCTCTACAGTATTTGTTGCTAAACGTCTCCATGCATTTATCTTCTGAGTAAATTGTTTACTTTATTTTCAATACTATTGGCAGTGAAACTTAGTCCTTAAACTGATCGTGTTAGTGCTATTTGACTTGTGATATCCATGAATATAAATTGCTCTGGATTGGATTAATGAAAAAGTTCAGTTCCATATCTTTTACACCTTTACTTCTTGTGATTTCATGCTTTTTAAGTGGTTGCGTCATTGTTACTCCAGAAAAGAAATGGTTAATTTTGAAACTATTGACTGTTATTGCTGAAGTCTTTCATTATCTTTTATCTGCCCCATAGCTCAGTTTCGGCACTGTTGAGGATCAATTGGGACTCTCACTGCGTAGAAAGGTGCATTCTATTGGTTGGTCTGTACCACATACTTCTGTAGTTCGGAATGATGTAAGTCAGTATGACATCATACTTCTTGCTTAGCCTACTTTTTTGAATTGTGTACAAGTATAACTCAATTTTATACATAATTGCTATATTGAAGACATCAGAAAATTATTTTTTCTTTAATGATATTAAATGTAAATTGTTGTTTTATGCTTACGCAATTTTCTTTTTCTTAAAAAGGATAGACCCTTTTTATTTTCAAATAGAAAAAGATGGACCTGTGATAATTTTTCATCTTTTGTGCTTCCCCCTTGTATCAGATAGATTCGGTTGCTGAAGAAGTAGAGTTACAAAGGTCATCAAATGAGATGGTAAACCACACATTCTGCAAGTAACTTCTCTTGTGGTTTTTGTTATCATGAAATTAGAAGATGCATCTAGACTGCTTTTACTTGCTGACTATTGCAGGTGTTTATATATGGAGGAGTAGGTCCATTGTTTTCAGATGCAACTTTAGGAGGTATTGCAAAGGCATTTGGGGTTCGACTGGTGCGTCATTTTATTTCTTTTGAAAATTTGAATTGAATTGAGATAGTGAGAAAGGAATTTAAAATATCCTAATTGGGAATAAACTTAAAACTCTTTTCCTTTGTTTTTACATTAGATTATTGGTATTCAACATATGCTTGCATTGAAACTTTAATAGGCTCCCGATGAAGAATTTGAAGAATACCTCAGGCATCTTATAGGGGATCATTGCACTGGTGATCGAAATGAGGTAATTTTAATCCAAATATAGATATCTGGGTTTGCTTCTGTTGTGTTAAAACTGGTGTTTTCTTTTCAGATGGCTCAGTTGCCAGAAGGGATCACTGAATTATTGCATCACGAGAAGTTGCCCGTCCCATTGGTATGGTTGGGATATGTGTGGGTCTTGTTTTTTTCTTTCCCATTAGTTGTATAAGAGACATTATGTATTCTGATATGACCTCTTTAATTACCTTAAGTTTGAATCTATGTGATATAATTTCTGCAGTGGTGTTTATTCATATCAGTAGTTAACGATTTTCTCTCTCTTGTAGATCAAGTGTCACAATGTGATAGTTCTTACTGCAACAAACACAACGGAACTGGACTTGCAGTGGGATTGTTTGATTGAATTAACAAGAACTGGTGACCTTTTCCCATTATTGGAACCATATAAATCAAAGCACTTGACCACAAAACTTTCAGATGTATGTGTTAGATTTTCCTTTCCACATAGCTGTATTTGTGGCATGTTCTTTAATGAGTTATTGTTGCATCAATTATCAATTTTTCCTGCACACTAATATCTGAAGGATGGAAAAACCTTATTAGAGTGCAGCCTAGTAAATTGAGTGGCGATGTCAGACCTGCCCTGGACACGTCACAGTGTTCGGTTATTGTTTTTCCTTCTTGAAGGTTTTGGATATGTTAGAACACACTCAGGACAGAGGAGATGTGGGAAATGAAAAATGATTATGTAGTTTATTAACTTGAGATAAATA